AACCGCTAGAGAAATGGTGGTAGGCTCTAATTCAACTCAGCTTGGCCTTTGCTCTCTTTCAAGAACTAGTTTTATTACAAGTCATCTAAGATATCTGCTTGCTGTTAATACTTTGAAAGTGATTTTGCTCAGTTATACAACAGTCTCAGCTCTTAAGGTCCCTCTTATCTTTCTACACCTACAGCATCAAATATGGAGTTAACTTTGCCAAAGTGCATTGTTGCATAACCTCTGTTTTTTTCTTGTTACAGAATCAATTTCATTTTATTCCTTTTATATACCTTTCTCCCTTTATTAATGAAGACTAAGTATTGGCAAAAAAATTGTCTTTATAGATGCTTAGAACAGTGGAGAGGAGGAAATAGCGAGCTTTTTACAGTTCTCAGATGAAGTCATTCCTCCAAAATGTTTGATGAGATTTTAGTTTCATACTGAAACTAATCTGGCTAAACATGTCTTTCCTCAGATTTCCTCCTAAGTCTTTAGTGACTTTCAACAAAAATAAGTATACAAGACTACCTTTTGTCAGGCCACACAGTTATCCTTTCATATAACCATAGACTAACTCAGGTTGGAAAGGTCCTCTGAAGGACATTTGATCCAGTTGTCCCAACTCAAACCTGGCCAAAATAAGGTTAGACTCTTTTACTTGGGATCATTTCCCATTAAACTTTTCAGTTTCGCAGTGAGGATTTTTTTTTTCCCTTGTATCCATCTGGAATACTCCTTGCCACAGTTTCCTCCAAGACTTCCCTTTCACCAACCCTCTACATTTCACACTTCTGTTATCAAAGTGAAACAATAAGAGCAACAGTAATGATGGTGTTTTAAAGAACTAACACTTGTTTTCCCTAAATTAAAAGTATGAGGGTGAAAAAAGTGATTTTAATATTTCTTTAATTAAAAGTCAGTGCTTTAATCATATTCTCTGCCTGAACTTTAACTTCTTTCATCTTTCCATTTTGATTTTAATTAGCTTTCTCCTTGGTGTTGTTAATGGCCATGATATCGACATTTGAGGAAATCGGAGAAGTTTTTATTGCATCCTTCCATCCTTTATACCAGTTCTTTATGGTCCCGGCATAGAACTGACAAAGAATGGAAGACTTACAATCTCTATCACATGTCAACGCACCAAAATGCATATATACCATGTATTTGCAGTGTGGTGTTTATGCTTTGCAATATTTGCCAGGCACAGCTGATCAACAGTCTTTGAGCTAGTTGAAGGCACATTCCCTAGCACCAGCTAGTTTCTGTACAACTGCAGAGATGATGGGAATTTTAGCTTATTTCTGGACTGATTTCTATCTTATTAGATCAAAACAAACTGTCTAAAGTATTCTGGGAAACAGACTTGATTTGTGGTATGACTCTTAGGAAGCTTGGGAAGAAAACCAAACTGGCCATATTCTTTAGCAGCTGATTTCAGCATGATTGTATACAAACTTTTAAAAACATTGGCATTCATATGCATGCATGGATACTCCATAAATTCGCTTAAATAATGGGGCAGAGGGGCATGAAATATTCTGTGAGTCACGGAATGACTTTGAGATTACAGGGCCATTATGTAAGTTTAGCCAATATATGCTTTAAAGCTGCATGCAGAGCAGTCAAATTTCTTTTGCTAATTATTTCAGTTTTGTCTGTAGCCTTCAAGGTTATTAACAAAAAATATATCTGAGCCTTTTTTATCAACATTTTGACGTGGTCTTTATGATAAAGACAGAGATAAAAAAGTCCATCTGGATCTGTGTTGTCCTCTCTGGCAAAAGATAATGCTAGGTAATTGCTTGTTCTTGGCAAGTGCCACAGCAGACCATTTTGTCTCCTTGTTGAAGATTTTTTTTCAGGGAGAAAGGCTTTTTTGAACTTCTCCTTGGTAAGAAAGAGAATGAAGTAAAGTAAGAAGGAAAGTGAGAAACTTTTCTTCCTTGTCCCTCTTTTCGTCCTGGGAGTCTCTTTGACTCTGTCCAATATGACTGAGGTAGTGCTGATAAGGTGGATCAACAACTGGGTGAAAGCAAAGAAAGGATGTGCAATATCTTCAGTCTGGGGAAAATAAAAAATAAATACTATTTATAACAAAGGGAATTTTCATGTTTCCTTGGCTATCAGAATGTTCAAGCAGAACTGATAAAGAATGAGATTTCTTTACTGTTTTGCTTTCCTCAGACCAAAGTTTATTGGTAGAAATTGTATGCTAAACTTGAAGGGAAACTTTGCTTATATTTTGCTAATATGTTGATAATAATATTATATTTATATTACATTTATATTCTGTTATATATCTGACTTATACCAAAAGTCAAACACTTTCTATTTGTGCATATCTCATTAAAATAAAGTTTCGCTTGCTTCTTTCCTTTGGCTTGAGTGTGAATGACTCGGATGAAATCAGTAACATTCTGTGTGAATAGGGGAAGGGAAAAAAAAGTCCATGGCTTGGGTTCTGCCTGCAGCAGCACTGCAGTCCAAATGTGTACCGCATAAAATTAAATACATCCAAGAAATGCACACCTGCTACCACAAAGGTTGTTTTGGACAGACTCAGGAAACAAGGCTCTTCATTTTTATATTTACTAATAAAGCATCTTCTCATTGCTGAGCTTTTCTAGCACCTGCAGTACTCCTTATACTAACAACAACCTGTCAGGGTGGAGGGATTGTGAAGGGATTGTGCCCAGTGTCACTGGAGACAGGTGTGTTCTCCTGGCCCTACCTGGGATAGGTGGGACAAGGCAGCCAAGGAGTGGAAGCATTTATCTAGCAAACCGTAGTCACAAAGTGAACTTTCACTTCATGAGGAAATAAATCTGTTACTACAAAAATATTATTTTACTTAATATCTGACCAAAAGTAGACGCAGACTATGCTAATGATAAATTAACAGCTGTAAGAACACTTGGGGCTTTTCTTCTCTCTGCATCACAGATAGTAGTCAAAATCACAAGCCAGACAGGTTTTTCACTTCTAAGGAAGTTTGATTGAGGTCCTATCTGCTGCATCCCATGACTTTGGAACGTTCTTCTTTCTGGGTTTAAACACACAGAAAAAGAAAAATGAAAAATACAATCGAAGACACAGTCACACAATTTACCTTGCATGTCTAGCAAATGATTATCAGAAAGGGCAATTTGACTGACACCAAAATCTGGATTAAAATATATAAATTTTCTTGGCAAGGAGTGTGACCTTCCTGTCTCAGTGCTCTTTCTGTGCCTGTTATTCTGCACTATAAACAGAGACCATAGTAACGCATTCACCTGCCCTTATTTTATGACTGCTAGTTGTTTTAACTAAACAAGAAAGTGACATAGTACAAATTATTATGGACAACAAATACAGCCCAGCTGTACAGTCATTTTTAATGAGGCAAAAATAAAAAACAACACTGTTGAAGTAACATGAATTCTTTTTTTTCTAGAGGAAAGGTGGGGTGTACTTAGCGGAGGCTCTCTCCTGCAATCCTGATGCACCTGTTGACAGTTTATTGAAAGTCAACCTCATTCCATATGTTCATCCCAACATTATTGACACAAGACTGCTGTGCTGAGGGAAGTAAATCCACGCAAATTCCTAGTAGGTTAGGTCAAAGAAGATCACAGCAATTACTTTTAACTTTTGCCAGTTTCAGAAACATTCCTTATTTCAGAGAGATTTCTTATGTAGGTATTCCCCAGCTGGTGGAAACCGAGCCCCAGACCTAATCAATGAAACCTCACAGTCAATTCCACAATGAGCTTTTTA